CTGCCGCGCCGGTGTTCTGGTCACCGGGACGTGACCGCTGCAGACGAAGTGCCTTGAACTGGGGGTGGGTATTTCACTGTTGACACGTCGAGCCGTCCCCCCAGCTCACTGGGCACCCGCTTCCCCGGGAGCCCCCCACCCCAGGGAGTGGCCGGCAGCCACGTCGACACTGGGACTGTCCCCTTAGAAGTGGTAGTTTGGTCAGAGTCACTGTCGTGGGAGCCAGCCTGCAGGCGTGACAGGACCTATGACCTGTATCACAGGGACGTGGGACGTGGAATGAGAAGGCGCCCTCAGAGCCCGTCAGCGGCCCTGCTCCCGGCCGCGTCCCCGCCGCGGGCCCCACAGAAGCAGCACAGGCCGTGTCCGCTCGGTGACCCATGAGAGTCAAAGTGAAAGAGCCAGTCCTCAGATCTGCCAATCAGCAAGGGGTCGATGCTCTTGCAAATACAGTCCAGTGTTTGAAACGAGATTTCTGAGCTTTGAAAACGGAATCTTACTTTACATGCACAGCAAAGACTTCACCGAATGAAGCCAGGCCTGCGAAATTCAGTCCGGTCGCCATCACTCCGCCCTGTCGAGCGTCCACGCAGCCTGCATGCTCATTCCAGCGGGCAGAGGAGGAGAGGGACGTGGAAAGGCCGTCTCTACGGCGCCGACTGGAGAGGAAAATCCGGTCTGAGCTCGTCGACTGCGAGGCTTTTCTTAGATTTATCGTTGACGCATGGCCCGCCCCGTGCTCCTGAGACTGTAGTGACAAGATTCGTCTTAAATGAGTTCAAAAGCGCCTCACATGCAGCGACTCTGATCCAGGACTGTGTCACGCGAGGTCTCAGAGCGGCGCGCGCTTCCTCCAGGGACGGTTCTAGTTAACTGTGATTAGTGGTAAGTTTAGTCACACTGCGAGTCCCTCAGAAATGATTATTTACTTCTTTTTGTTTAAAAAAAAAATTATATAGCAGTCGCTAGACATTGAAGCGAAGCGAAGTGGAGAATTGAACTAAATCTCTCGGGAAAACTGGAGGAAAGGGTGGAGGATGAGGTGACGTGTCAAAGAATCTACTTCAACTCGTGACTTTCTGTTGAGTATGTGTGTGGGTAAAGCGCAAGGCCAATGAAGTGCCATATTCATGAATGCCAGCAGCGCACGGCCAGGTGGCACTGCTCCTCCCTATTTAAAAATACTGCACCAAACAGGAATTCCTTCTGCCTGCTTATTGCCTCCTCTCTTCATCTTTTTGGCTTCCCCCGCTTGGGAGTTCAGAGGGTAGCTCGTGCACGCGGACATTCGCAGAGAAGTGCATCCGAGTCACTCTCAGATCACCATATTCTCGGGAAAGTCATTGGGTCCCCGAGAGACTAGACTGGCAGCACGGAGGAGATTCGCTCACAGGTCACAGCCACGCGCCCAGGTCGGGGACCTCGGTGACTTCGAGGAACCAACACGAACTGCTCGTCTCTGGGATTTATTGAAGATTGAGGTATTTTGTACTCGGCCCGGTTTTTCAGAAGAATAATTAGTGGATCGTAAGCTCAAGGACCTTAACATCGGCGAGAATGCACCTTCGAATGCTGGAAATGAGGGAGAAGAAGAACCCATTTGAAAACATGCAGCCCATGCCCTCGTGGTCGCCAGCCACCTGCTCCCACACGCAGGTGTTGGCGCGAGGTCACTTCCGACAGTGACCGAGAGCTCGCCAGGGTCCGTGAGGAAAGGCGAGTCCGTCCGCGGCTGCATCGTTTCCTTTCATGCCCTTTCTCAGTTTTTACTGGAGCTACTGATAAGAAGCATAACCTCGGAGACAAACTTGAAATCCATGTGGCCTGTCGTTTTGACCTTGTGACCTGGGGGGAGAGAAACCGAGAGTCGCAGGCTCCTGTGAGACTCACACTTCCCTGGAGGACCGAGCTGGCCGTGCGGGGCGTGGGGAGCCGCCAGGGCCGGCTGAGGGGAGCGGGGGACCCCGGGCCGGGGTGCGGGGGGCGAGGGGAGCAGGCGGCTGG